AAGGGGAGAATCGTGTAGAAGAAAAAAGAAGAAAAAGCAAAACAACACACATACTTTATATATGACTGGTATGAATCATCGTGTCCCATTTTTTGTCAGCTGACACTTTTTCCCTCTATCATGAACAACTATTAAATGCGTCGATAGATTTTTTTTTCTTCTCTTATGTAATAAAATCCACAATCGAATCATTTTTTATTATTAACTATGAAATCAAGTTTTATTTTTGTAATTTGATTCATCATCTTACAAATCAAGAGAGAATACAATACATAAATTTTCTTTGTTTAAAGATATCGGTGCAAAAGAAAAACGAACGCACACACACAGCGAGAGAGAGAGAGAAAAAAACGAACTGTTATATAGTAATAATAGTAATATCAATAATAATAATACATCAAAAAAGAGAAAACCAGGAGAACGTAAGTGATTAGGGATTGTTGATTCATGCAATTATTTTTTGGCGTCAATTAAAAAAACAACAAACAAACAAACAAACAAACAAAAAAATAATCATTTGATTTTGCATTGATAAAAAAAGAACACAAGTATCTGAGAAAAGAAAGATTATGTGTGTAAGGCAAGGCAAATAAAAAAAAAACAAGGGTCATCTGTCCTACAACACAACAAGGCATGATGATGATCGTACAAAGCTTATTTCGTTTTTAATGACTAGAAGAAAAGATGTTAGGTAAAGAAAAAGAAAAAAACAATTTTTTTATCCAATAAGTCCAATACGTGCTGCTTTAGCGGATAAAAATGCATGTAAATGGAAGACAAATGGTTTGGGAGATGTACCAAAATCTAATTCCTATAAATAAATAGAAGATATATTTCAGAAATCTAAATATCATTATTCTACATACTACAACTCCTTCTTCACCATGAAAATCTAATGTTAATAAATGTTCATTATCATCGGCTGATGAACGAAGTTTTTCAAATGGTTGTTGCCATAGTAAACGAACATTACCAGTATTTGTAGTATTTCCACCATTTGTTACTGAATCAGTTGGATCACTATATAAGGTAAAACCATGTTCATAATGTAAAAATAATTTACATGTTCGATTATTCCATTTACAAGCTAAACAAAAAAAATTCTATATTAAGAATTCTAGGAACAAGTGGCAGATGGTACTTATAAGTTAAATAGAATGGAAATAACAACTGTTTTTAATTTGAAAAATACTTTTAGCTTAGTTTTGTATGAGTTATTCTTCAGTTGGTTTCATATAACGGAAGCGTTGACTCGATATTTTTTCCTCAATCTTCGATAAAAATGTTATTTAACTGATTTATAACCCTTTCTTATTCATAGTTTAAATATAATAGAAAAAAATCTTTTTGTTAACTTACGAAAAACAACTTCTTTGGTTCGTACAACAGCACTTTGTAAACATTGACTAATTGATTTAGTCCAATAATTTAAATCCGCTTTTGTTTCAACTCGAAATGTATGTGATACAACACCAAATTTAGTTCCAACACGTAAAGATAATAATGAGATATCAGCATCAAGTGTGGCATCACGTGTTGATTGTACAATTCTTTAATAAATAAATAAAAAAATAAACAAAATTTAATTAATTTTTTGTTATTACCTTGTTGATAGAATTGAATAAACAATATCTGGTTCTCGACATGTCTGTCTTGATACAGGTGCACAACATAGAAAACAAATTTCAGCATCAGTTAAAACAAGAAAAACAGGTTTCCAAGCTTTCATTTCTTCATTATTAACTTGTTCAGTTAACCAGCCTAATGCTTTAACTTCATTCGCATTACGTGCAACACAAAAATGTTCTTCAATTTCAGGTAAAATTTCCAAAAGACAACGAGATATTTTTGAATGAATTATTTGAAACCATTTTTTCGCATGCATATCATCAACAAATCGTACACTGTAACATGTTTGAGCATAAGGTAAAACAATATCTAATATAGAACCATTTGTAAACGATGATGATGATGATGTTGTTATCGGTGAAACTGATGTTGTTGATGATAGTAGAAGAATATCGTTTGTTGATGATGAACGACGAAATATATAACATAAACGAAGTGATATACGTTTTGTTTCATACAATATTGAATCATTTGA